TAGGTTTATCTCGCGTCTGCTGTGCTATACCTAACACAGCTGGAGTCAATGCCTATTTTGTTAAATCTGCTTTGCACATAGAAAAATAACGTGATATCAGCAGTATTCCAAGACTTGACACCATATTCTTAGGATTTCACTCGCATTTCTCTACTTATTGAACCATAGGTGTCGCAAACTGCCGAGTGCTCTGAAGAGTTGGTCAGCCTATTCCGAACTAGAGTCCACCCTCAGCTCCCTGGTAGGAAAATTGCCGATCTTGCATATGCTGCGAAATCCGGCCATGAAGGGAAGGCACTGGGCTGCCATCAGTGACGTCACAAACCACCCCAATCTCGATCCCGAACACGTAGATCTGACCACAAAGATGATCATCGATCTGCCCATTGGACCTTCAGACAAGCCGCGTGAGGAGGTGGAGGAGATCTGCGTGGGTGCGGCTAGAGAGAAGGAGATTGAGGCCAAGCTTGTCAACATCTCCACTGACTGGGCCGTTCAAGATCTGGCGCTGGCTCATTTTAAAACCCGTGGTGAGCTGCTGCTGAAAGGGGACCGTACGGCTGAGATTCAAACCCTGCTGGAGGATTCGCTGGTGACACTGAATTCGCTGGCAAACAACAGGTCTGTATAAATTAATATTAATGACAAGCAATGTTCCTTCGTTCTGTTCCCTATTGGTCCAAACTTTACCAGTGCAGTATGTGAATAGTTTTCGCAACAGGCCTTGTCATTTCACAAAAGGCAATACGTCTTTTTTAGGAGAGAGGGGTAGGGGTCGGCAGATTTCAATAATTCATTTGGCCCAATTTTGAAAATCTATGTAGCCTCGGTGAGATTCGAACCCACGCCAGCAGGGGAAAAAATCGAGCATAGCCAACGCTCTAGTCAAATCGGCTATCGAAGCCCAACAGGAAGCCGTTACTTTAATCATACTTAGATTGATTAACCCACCCAGCAGTCCACCAATACTGATACGGTTAGTTGACCGTCCAAACAGGTATTCCTAAGCAATCAATCTAGAATCCACCAGATGACTATCGGGTGCACTTAGTTAGTAGGAGGGGGCTAGCTGATTTCAATAATTCATTTGAGCCAACTTTGAAGAACTCAGGGGCCTCGGTGGGACTCGAACCCACGCCTATAGTGCAGCCAACGTGCTAGCTAACTGAGCTACGAGGCATCTATCGGGAGCCCTGAAATTAGTCCTACTTGTACAGCCAGCTTAATTTATCCGTATTGGTGGATTACATAGGTTGCAGTTGACCGAGCGGGTTAATAAACTCGCCTCCCGGTGTGGGCCTCGTAGCCAAGTTAGCTATAGTGTTTCTTTTACTAAAGCCTTTTCTTTCCACCGAAACCATCGATTTTTTCAAAACTGGGTCAAATTAATACTTCTTTTTGCCTTTCTTCACCCCAGCTTCACAGCTGATCGCGATAATTGCCTTTCATGGTTTTTTGGATCTGTTCTGAACCAAGCCAAGACGTATTTCCTTCTCTGTCAGTATGAGAATGACGATTCAATTGTTTTCTGGAGTCTGACCTTTGTAGTTGCAAAGACGGTTTACAGACGGGATACAATACACTATATCCAACTACTAATTCAAATCTCGCCAACCCTTGGTTGTTATAACCCTGCTGTGCGTGTTATCTTTGAGTAGGATTCCAACAACTAGTCCCACCGCGTTGTGCTGCTGATACATCCTTGGTAAATGGCAGAGTATGCCATTATTGAGGGCTAGTTGTTGTCTTGACACCAGAAGGATCCCCAAATCACAAGTCTGGGAAGACTGAATGAATTCGG